TACTTGTCCTGCAATCTCATTTCTTTCTCTCCAACAGCCTCCCACAATAAAGCATTCAAGGGTCCCCATATCTCCCTTGCAGAGGGAATTAGGCCTTAGTGTCTTGCAGCTCTGTGGTCCCCCAGGGTCCCCAGACCTCACCTTCCTTGAAGTCCTCCTGGCTGTGAAATGACCTGGAACACGAGGGTGACATCACACGTCCCAATAACTATCAAGGTGCTGGACTGGCTGTTGTGCACACAGTGACCCATTAAGTTGCAGAACACCCAGATTTCCTCGTTCTAACAAACACATTTTTTGACATGTGAGCTAATTTCAGCACAAAACCCCCTCTGCTTCAAGCCAGTCTGGCTTTCACCCACCGTGGGCTGAGTGGAGCGGTGCTCCCTGCCCTCCAACTGCCTGGAAAAGCCCCCGTCCCACTCCTGTGGCTCAGCTCTGTGCTCTGAGAGCAGCAGCTATCCAGCAGCAATGGCTGAACCCAGAGGCCAGGTATCCCCACAGAAGATGGTCACAGCTAATCTCCCCCTGGCAGCCTGCCTGGCCCTGCAGACCACAACAAGCCACAGGAACTGGAACGACCCTGCCATGCCTCGCACACCCTGATCCCTGAGCGAGGGCAGCCAGGTGCATCTGGGTATAAATACAGCCAAGGCTCTGGAGAAACCTGATCCCCTGGACCATTTGTCCTGCACAGGTCAGAACCACCTGCACATGCCACCTTTCTGTGGGGAGCACCCACCTCTCCCCTCCCCTCTCCCCTTCCAGAGCACTGATGTGGGAGAGACCCCCACTGTGCTACGCACTGGCTCTGGCATGTGCTGGCCCAGGGGCAGGAATGTGTTGGAGCATGCTGGAAGATGCAAGTCCTATTTCCAGCTCCTCCCCTGCCACTTGGGTGGATGCAGAAGTTTCTGCCCTGCTCAGTGCCTATTTAAGACACAGGCACAGTTCCCTTCCATGTGCTCGTAGAACAGCCTGGTTCTCTTCCTAGAGAAACAGAAAACGAGAATTCCCCAAGTTTGGCTCTGCTCCCACTCCTTTGAAGGACAGAGAGTCCCTTTGCAGTAAAGGAACAAGGGCTCAAACTCCAGCACCAGCAGAGCTGCGAGCATGCCCTCATACCTGCCAACCACTCCCTGGGCATGGTTCTGGTGTCCCCACAGCACTGTGTGCACAGCAACACAGCCAGCCTAAGATGACCAAGCCACCTCCAAGAGGAGTAAAGCCTGGCCAGGGCTGGGATCATCCCACCAAGGCCAGGAACACACAGATGAGTTTCAGCAACTGAACTGAGAAAATTGTGGTGGCAGAACTTGATTCCATTTCCCACAGTCCATCGTTTTGCTTGAGCCCAAGGGTTTTGCTGAAATCAAAGTGGAGTGTTTCATTTCCCATTCTCTTCCCTTACATAAAATATAAGTGAACAAAGTGATAGTTCCTGGAGGCATGGCAGAAAGATGGCATTTTGGTTTTTCTGAGCTACAGTGCCCCCGTGAAAAGATCAAAGAGCAACACCCAAACCCCATCCCTCCATTAAGTCAAAGACACACAGAGAGACTCTCCCTCTGAGCAGTATCACCTACAAAAGCCTTCACCTGTGACAGCAGTGCCAGGGAGGGATGGGAAGGGGAGCTGAGAGGACAAGTGTCAGCAATGATATGGGGGATGCTGGCCAGCCCCACTACCAGTGCAGAGCACAGCTGTGGGATCAGGCAAGAGGTGATACACACAAAGAGCCATCCCAAACAACCCGCCATGGTCTCGTTACCCACCCCAAACCTCTCTCCCTGGGTGACCTGTTGTCCCCAGCTCCACCCCCAGCTCCCTCAGCCTGACCCCATCCCCACCCCAGGATGGGCACTGTGCCCCCTCCTCACGCACCAAACACCCTCCCTTCTCAGCGAGCTGTCCTGTTTCTCCCCAGCACACAGTGTGGTCACTCCCTTCTCCCCAGGCTGTCCCTGCCTGTCCCTGCACCACCCCACCAAAGGTCCCCACGGCCTGACCCGCTCCTCAGCCCCAGCTCTCCCCACCAGCCTATTCACACCCCAGTTTGCACAGCCAACACATCCCACCAGGGCTCCCTGAGTGCCTCGCTGCCTTTTACACACCTGACGAGACACCTGAAGCAGGTTGGCGGCTCTCCTGACCCCCAGCACCCACACCCAGCACCCTGCTCACGGTCACACACACACCCATGTGCTCCCAAGTGCCTGCAGCCAGAGGATACTTCCACTCCACGATGCTGATGCAGGCCTTCCGCAGCGGGTTCTCCAGGGTCAGGCAGAACAGAGCCCTGGGCGGCCGAGGGGCTACCGGGGCACCGGCTTCTTGGACTTCTCCTTCTGTTGCCTCTTCTTCACGTCATCCTGGGGGGAAGCAGGCTCCATGGTGTCGCTCCCCCAGCCGTTTCTCCCCCTCCTGCCCCACGGCCGAGCCCCTCTCCCTCAGGTCCCCGTCCCCTCCGTGCGGCGGGGGAGGCGGTGGGGGACTGGGGGCTGGAGCCTGCACTCGCATGTCCAAACACACAAAGCACGAGGTTAAATTTAGATCCCGGCCTGGCCCTGGGTGCTGTCCCAGCTCCCGAGGCAGCAGAAGGGCCCCTGCAGCTGTTGCCTCTTTACCCAGCACATGGGGAGCCGGGCGAGTGCTTCGCGTGCCGCTGCCCGGGCTGGGGGTGGGACAGCCTGCCCAGCGCTGGGAGCGCTGTCTCTGAGAGAGAAGGGCTTCTGTCCCAGGTCAGCTCTCTCCCCAGTTCCCCTGGCTTTCCTGACATGCACTGGGAAGCAATGTGCATTTACTGAATCACACTATTCAGGGTGAGATGGAGAACGCAGCTCTGGCCACTTCCCAAAGACAGTTTGCCCCCCCAGTGTGATCAGCTCCCTCTCTGTAGGATTCACCTTCACTTGGTGCACACTGCTCACCTGAGCCCCAGACTGTGTGATCACTGGCCTTTGGGGCTGGGTCCATTTCACTGACTGGAGACCCCAGTCTCAGAGCTCTACGAAATCATGGTAAGTTCAAGAAGTGGACACTTATCAGCACCTTTCACAGCAGGGGACTGAGCCAGGAGGAAGTGTTGTTCCTGGGGTTTCCTAGACTGTCAGTAAAACAACTGCAGCCATCTAATTACTTCCAGTGATGTCCCACAGTAAATGGTCCTACAGATGTTACAGTTGGTGGGACTGACCGGCTGTGCCCCACTCGACCCCGTGCACCCCAGGGTGATGCTCCACCCGTGGCACCACGCTGCCTGGCTCACAGCTTCCTCTCCTTTGCTTTGTTCCCCATTTCCTTTGCTCCCCATTCCACGGCGGAGGGAAACGGCTTGCCAGGTGTGCAGCCGGCTGTGCCAGGAGGGAGTGACCAGGGAGTGAATTGATTCCTGCCCCCGGCAGGGAGGTTGCATGGGAGAGCAACTCCTACCGCTGCTCCCGCCAGCTTTGATGCCCTTTGGAGGAGGGTGCCCTCGGCTGTAGAGGGGTTTATAGAATCACGGAATGGTTTGGGTTCGAAGGAACCTTAAAGATCATCTTGTCCCAACCCCCCTGCCATGGGCAGGGGCACCTTCCACTAGGGTTAAATTAGCAATATAGCCCCTCCTACACTACTCTTGCGTTTTGTGCAAAGGCAGGTTAAATCAGTTCTGCTGCGGGGTCCAGCCCCGTCTCCTTGTGAGGCAGCTCCACGCGTGTTCCCACTTCTCCCTTAGCCCTCGTTCCCCCTCTAAACCCCAAGCGAAAGCCATTCCCGCTGCTGCCTGTGCAGAAGAGCCTTTCCAGGGACCGCAAGGCCGCGGGGCCCATCTAGCGGGGATGTCCAGGAGGAACATCTGCCCCGGGAAGTGGAGGAGGAGGGAGGGCGAGCGGTGCTGCCCAGCGGGGCTCGGACAGGGGCTGTGGAAGAGACCCCCGAGGTCTCCGTGATCTCCTCGACACCCCGTGGCTCGCACAGCCCCCGTGTGCAGCCTCCCCCCTGCTTTTTGCACAGGGCTGTGCTGGCACCCACCCACCCGGCTGGGCTCCAACACGCCCGCTGCAGCGCTCTGAGCCGTTCCCACCAACCTCCTGCCTCGGGAAACCTCTTCAGAGCCGTCCTCCTCTTCCTCGCACACCTCCCGCTCCATCACCGCACAGGCACGGCCTTGGGAAGGGTCCCAAAGGCAGCCGGGCCGGGATGGGGGTCTGACTCCCCCCGGGGTCGTCATCTGCGGCAGAGCCGAGCCGAGCCGAGCTGAGCCAAAAACTGCATTCGCCGCTCCCCTCCCGCTCCGCCCCTCTCCCCGCCCCGCCGGTTCCCTCCACGCCCTCTTCTGCCCCTTTACTGTCCCTTTACAGCCCCTCTCCCTGCCCTGCTGTAAAGTCAAGACTTATGACGAGCCCCTGAGATGCAGAGGGCACAGGGGAGGATGCCCCACCACAACCGGGCATCTGTGCTCAGCCCCGCTCCTGCTGGGACCCGGGCTTACAGGGCTGCAGCAGGAATTATCAGACCAAAGCACGGACGCGTTTTCATTTGCCGAGAGTTTACTTCCACAAACCCTGATCTTCTCTTGTTGAGAAGATCTTCCCTTGAGATGCACGCATGGTCTTGATATTTAGGTGGGCAGAAAGCACCCCTTTACCAGGGTTGAACTCGCAGGCCAAAACCCTGTATTGGAAGGTTTGCTTAAATCCTGCAGTAGATGGAAATACCTGCACTGAAGACAGTGACAAGATAAGGCTCTGACTTGAGAAAACTTTCTGAGTTTTCTCAAAAAATGTCATGGACAGTATGTAAAATAGCTCTGCACCAAGTTACTTGACAAGGAAATGAAGTCTTTTGGGTCATGGGAGGGGAAAGAACCACTGCCTGCCCTGTACCTGGGAAGAGGGTCTTCTGGCAAGGCTACTTGGAGCATTCTTTTTTTTTTTTTTTTTAAATTCAGCCATCCAAACAAACAAACATGCCTCTCACAGTTGGTTTATACATTCACACAAGACAAGAGTTTAAGCATCCCTTTATTGCATAAACATCAAAGCAGTCACTGCTCCCCAAAGCAGCAGCAGAAGGCACATGAAGAAACAAACGTGGTTTCGGTGATGTCACCTTCCATTTGTGCACTGTTCCTGGATCCAGCCTTCGTCTGCAAAAAGGACTCACTAACTAAATGGCAAAACATTTCCCTTTCCCAACAGGCTTTCCAGCCCTTAGTTTCCTCACAGAGATGCTGCCTGCATTCTAGCTTGTGCTTGATCAGCTTCCTCAAAGGATGACAAGAAAAGCTGCATTCAGCCAGGCCAGATCTCAATATCTTTCAGTGCCCTGTCCCTCACACCAGCCAGGAGCAGATGCTCAGATAAATTTAAGCAGCAAGGTTGTGTTTCATTGTAGTTTCTCTTCTCTCTCTGTCAGTGAATTGTACTCCCCACCATAGTCAGTGACTGTTGTAGTCATAAGGCAACACAATTCTGCAGGTCTTATACAGCATTCATCAATTTTTGTATTTTATCACTTCAGACACTCCAATAAGGAAGGGTAAAAACAATGAAGGAAGGGGAGAGAGGACTGGAGGAAGGGAGGGATGAAGGAGAATGAGGAGAATAGAGAAAGACACAAAAAGAGAGAGAAACACTAAATGTTGCTAAGCCCCGTTAGTCAAGGCAACAGAATCTTGGGATGGGATTATGCAAGTAAATGGCTGAAATTCCACCTGTAGTGCCCTGCTGCCAAGCCTTGTTTGTATTAAGCCACCAGCTCTAAGTTCTCTATTTGCGTTGCAGCAGTGCAAAGGCCTCCCAGGGTCAGCATAGCCAGCACCCTTTCCACCTTAATAATATGCTGCTTTTAATTCCCCACACCCATCCATTTCCATAGCTTCCTTTCCAAACACTCTCACTCTTCACCTCTGGTGATGCTGAGAAGACAGTCGATGCCTGTGGAGCGATTTAGCAACCCTTGACAAAGGAACTCAGGTTTCTGCCCTGGCAGTGGTTTTTCCAGCCGTACCTGGAGAACAAACACATTATGCAATTTGAGGGTTGAATTGGTTATAAAAACACACTTGGTTAGTCTTTGAGAGTCTTGGGGGAAGAAAGGTGGGTGTGAAAGACTCTAAGGGAGCTGGGGGAAAAGAACAAAAAGGGGGATCTCTGGGAGAGGAGGGAAATTTAGGGAGCTGAAAGTGAGGACTCCTCACTACTTTCAGCTCTAGGAGAAGGACTGTGCTAACCTTTACCAAATACAGCTTCTCACCCATTTCTCCCTCCCCCTCCACCTCCAGTTAGTAGAAGGATTTTTTTTTTAATCTCCTCTGCCCACTCTTCCCCAGTGTCCACTGCAAAAACCCTTACCAGGGAGTGAGGCCACGAGCCTCTTGAGCAATCTTCTTGGCACACCGAATATCATCCTCGATATTATCATCTTGCAATTCTGTAGAGAAAGGAGAAACGGTCAGCATGGAGAAAAGAGGGCCAGAGGAAGAGCAGGGACAGATTGGCAGAAGGAAAGGTGTTCATCAGGAAAGGACACTGAGAAGAGATGGATGAATGGAAGGACACATGGAGAGAAATGCCCGGAGCGGCTGCTGGGCAGGTGTCACGGACAGATCAGGTGCTTTCAAGGAGTGGACAAAGAAAGGCTCTTTGTTCTGTCCCACCACTTACTTGAGCAAGAGATATTGCAGGCATTCTTGGATCCAGAGGTCTTGCCATCATTGCACCAGTACTTGCTGTTGATCTGGAAGATGCCGTAGTCCCTGCTCGGGCCGTTGTTGTTGTACGCTTTGGTGTTGTAGCCACTCTCGTACTTCACCAGGCACATCCCTGCAGGAGGGGAAGAGACACCACAGGAGAACATCAGGGAATGCTCAGGGTAAATAAAAGGAAAGAGATGGAAGGATTAAGGGTGAATGTAAGTGCTGAAGAAGTAATTAAACTGGTGGTATTGCAAGCTTGACAACCGGATGGGTAAATGCTTCAAGCTCTGGATGGGTATTTGTTGTGTAAACTTTACACGGGAGGAAGGAAGGGGATGATGAAGAGAGGTGATGAAGTCAAAGGAATGGAGGGACAGAATAGCACTGCTGGAACATCACAAAAAAGTTGAGGGGGAGAAGCGTGGTACAGGCAGAGAGGTCCAATGGCAGCTCATTATACTCACAGTCAGCAACAGTTCTGCCCTGAAAGCCCTCAAATCCATTCTTACGTAGGATCTTCACCAGCTCACATCGGGGGATGATTTTCCCCTGGGTGACTGGCAGAGCCAGACCAAGGAAGGCAACAAGGAAGCCGAGGAACAGCATTGACTTGCTCATCATGCAGTCCACAGCAAGACGTGCCAAAGCAACTTGAGCTGCCAGTCTGCCAAGGACTGCCTTTTATTCCTGCTTCCAGGAGGAGGATCAGCTGGCTGAGCAAGCATGGCTGGGAAATCTGGGCGGTCTTTACAGTAAAAAGCCAATAAGGAAGCGGGCCAAGCTCCAAAACAAATTCCTGGAGGGTGCCAGTAACTCTTTCACTGGTCCTGCAAGGCTGAGGCATTCCACAGACAATCCAACAGTCCTCAGTTTGATTTTGTTCCAAGTATCATGCATCAAAGGTTGTAGTTGCCTTGTGTGGGTGTCATGGCTTAACCCCAGTATTCTGCTAAATCCCTCAATCTCTCCCTCCTGGTAGGATGGGGAAGAGAATGGGAAGTTTAAAAGTGAGACAACTGGTGGGTTGAGGCACAGACAGATTAATGGGGAAAACAAAAGCCATCCAAGCAAACAAAGCAAAATAAATATTTAACACACTTCTTTCCATCAGCAGGAAGATGTTCAGCCACCTCCAGGAAAGTAGGGCTCCACCACATGTTTACAGTGGCTTGGGAAGACAAACACCACCTCTCCAAATGTCCCACTCCTTCCTCCTTCTTCCCTCAGCTTTACACATTGAGCACGATGCCATATGGGCCAGTGTGGGTCAGCTGTCCTGGCTCTATCCCCCCTTGTCGTGGTTTAGGAATGGTATTCCCCAATTTAGTACTCCCACTAAAAAGACCATGAGCTGTCCCCTCCCGGCCTCCATAGGAGGCACAAAAGGCGAAGATCATGGGTTGAGATAAGAACAATTTACTGGAAACAGCAATGAGATAAGAAAATGAACAGTAACAGCAACAATATTCATAACAAAAGTGTGCAAAAGAGAGAACGATTCACATGCAGAAATGCTCAGTGTGGATCAGGAGACAATGAGCAGTGAACAAGTTGCAACACTTTGCTGATGCATATCCTGTCTAATAAATAAATTTCCCACGTTGAGCCCAGGAGTGTTTATTAGACAGGAGTTCCTGCATCAGGCACTGTAATAAAGCAATGCCTGCCTAAGGATACACTGGTGTTAGGGAGGTTCATTCCCGAATTTCAGTGACACAGAGAGCTTTAGGGAACCAGCAAAAGGGTGAAGCAAGTGCAGACGCAGGTGGGTGGGGGAGAGGCTGTGGGCAGTGATGAAGAGCCAACAACCAGAAGTCTGAGGGCAATCAAGAGAGACATCAGGGCCTTGGAGCAACTGATTAAGGGAGTTTCTTATCCAAGATATTGTGTTGGAAGTGCTACTTTCCCTCCAGCCACAGAACCAGACGTGTGGTCTTAGTGGATGATCAGGTTGCTCAGCCACAAGCTGGCCTTGGTCAATCCATGCTGACTGTTTCATGTCCCCTTCTTGCCCTCCATGAACCTGGCATGGCTTCTGGGAGGGTGGAACTCGTGATCCTCCCGTGGCCTGAGGAGAAGGGAAACTACCCAGGCAGATGAGGTTCAACAATAGAGTCCACAAAGGCAGCACAGTGAGCAACAAAAAGAAAAGATACAATGGGAAGTACAAGAAAAACTGGCCTGAGAAAAATAACCATACAGACCACTAGAGTGCCTGTGGAAAACAGGGAATTGAGACCATATCCTTCCACAGACCCTTCCAACTGCTGGGTTTCAGTCATCTCACCCCTGGTAGGAATTATAAGCCAGAGGCCACTGCAATAGGGCTCATCCCTAAATTGTGCTTCCTAAAAAGAATCAAAGAGGGCTCCTTCTTCTGCTATGTTTAATATGCAATGGTAGTTACAACTTGAGCTTGGTGCCTCCAAAGAGAGGCTCTGCTTGTTGGCTGTTAAAGGATTTATAGTCTCTATAGGTGACTTGATTTCCTGATGGTACTTCTGCTCATCCAAGCCTGTTTGCCACATCAGGGCTCTTCTCTTCTGATTCCTTCAAGCAGCCTCACGGCCCCTTTTTTGTCTGTTTCTGGAGACATTTTGTTGCCTTTGGCTACAGCATCTCCTGTAGTTAAAGTTTTACTTATACTTCCTTATCTACTGCTTACAGTTCTACAGATTAAATAAAGGCTAAAATAGAATTCCTGGGGCCTAAGGCTTTATTTATTTTAGTCAACAGTGCTAGGCTGTACAGCACAAATTAGTCTCTCCCTACACATCTGTGGTGAAGGACTAGAGGTTTGCATGCATTGTGGCATCATCTTAAACCCTGGACTTGTGGCTTCCACTCTCCCTTTCCTGGGACAGGACACATATACCACTGTGTCAGGTGTTTAGAAGAGATGGGTTGGAAACAACCAGTCATAGAATCATAGAACTGTGGAATGTCCTGTCTTGGAAGGGACCCACGAGGATCATGGAGTCCAACTCCTGCAACTCCTGGCCCTGCACAGGACCACCACAACAACCACACCATGTGTCAGACAGCTGGCTTGGTGCTGTGGCCGCTTCTCTGGGGAAGCTGTCCCAGTGCCTGACCACCTTCTGGGCTCTGGTTCTTCACCCAGAAGGTTCTTCACCCAGAAAATTCTTCTGGACAGTGACAGGCTCTTCAGTAGGGGCAGGCAGGGCAGAAGAGGTGGAGGTGGGGGGTGGCATTTGGCACTGTATGCAACAGAAGGGTTAGAATGCATGGAGCTCACAGCTGGCAGTGGCACCCCTTGGCAGAATTTGCCCTCCCCTCCTGCCCCAGACCTCACTCAGGATAGTTTCAAACCATTGAAAACTTTTTTAATAACTTTTTTTCAGTCCCTCACACCCCCCACCCCTTTCTTCTTTTATGTTTTCTTCTCTTATTCATCTTGGATCTCGGTTGATGGCTTTCTGTTCTTCCAGCCTTCCATGAACCTGCACTCGGTAAATGCAGGTATACCACGGGTTTCCCCAGTTGCTCTTCACGAGGAGTTTGACATATGAAAAGGCTTCTGCTCTGGGAGGCAGCACATCCTGTGAAGAGGGAAAAAAGGGAGCATTGAAAGCAGCAGTCAAATCAACACGGAATCAGCCTTCCTCCTGGAAGGGAGTGATGTGATGGGAGGACACTGCCCAGCTTGTCAGCAGGTCACAGGATGGAGCAACAGTGATGCCTCACAGCTTGTGCCACCACTCATCCCCATTTCTCCATGGGACAGGGTCATAGCTTGGGTGGAGTGGCTGCATGTGCACCTGGCAACTCAGCCCTGCAAGCCCCTGCAGGTCTCTGAGAGTGGTGCTCCATGACCCTCTGCCCAGGGAGGAAACATTCCTGCCCTTCCTGTTATGGACTTACAGGCAAACCCATTTTGCTCCCTGGCATCTGCCCCCGTGCGTGGAATGTACCTTCAGAGGGAAAGTCTGCATGGGCTCTTTTTCCACATTGTAGGTGAATGTCCCCAGGAGAGATTCCTCTTCTCCATCTGCATCCACTCCCTCAGGGGCAAAGCACGAGGAGAGCAGCTCAGACCCGGCCCAACAAAGAGCAAATCTACCCAGCCAGCCTTTCCTGGGGCTCTAACAGTAGTCTAGCACTGGTTAAGGCAGAGCTCAGGCTCTGCCTTGAATTTTGGTCAAGAACCCTTAGGTGCTTAGCCAGGACAAGTCTTAAGAAGGATGAACCTCTCGAGCCCTTGAATTGTTGCACTTGGGCACTGCAGTGACAGACACAGAGCTCAGAGGATGCACAAAAGCAAGCAAGACCCTGCTCTGGCTTCCCCCCAGGCCCAGAACCCCGGCAGAAGTGCCCAGCAGACTTACAAAGACAGCGATGTCTTTGGGGGCACTGATGATGGTGCCACTCGGAGAGACGTCTTTGGTGATGTGCTGCACTGTGATGGCAGTAAGGTGGACTCGTGCTGGCAGCTTGATGACCACCTGGCCCTCATGCCCTTTGAAAGCCCAGCAGCTTCCTGGGGAAACATTTGGCTGCAACCAGAACGCGAGAACAATGACGTGTGAGAGGTTGAGGCCAACACAACCGCCCGTGTAGTTTGAAGCGTTGGGGTTGGGATCTCTGTGGGCTCTGTTTCAGCTTGAAAATAAGGCCTTCCCTGCCAGCCAAAGTGGGATCAGCATGACAGGACAGAGAATGCTGATTATGAAACCATCCTGGTCGGGGCCAAGCCGAAACACCTCTGCCCAGGGTCTCCATGGGGGACATCCCCCCTGCTCCCACTCCCCACCCGTGAAAAGCGGTTCTTAGGGATGAGTGTGCAGACAGGGTGTCTTGGTTTATTGGCAATGTGTCCCAGGAGGCAGGATCTCTGATGGAATGAAAACCCCTCCCCATAAATTATGAAATTTTTTTAAATTATGAGGCGTTCGAGCGGAGCACGAAAATGAACAAGAATTTTAATAAAAACAGGGAACAAAACAACAACCAAACAACAACAGAAAAGGTGGGGTTGCAGTCCCAGGAACCAAAGAGAGCGAGTTCCCACCATGCCAGCAGCTTTATTCCTTTAAGTTCTCACAGTATTTTTCCTAGTAGGACCCTCCTCCCTCCCTGCTCCCTGTGTTGGGGTGGGGGGACAGCGGTGGCCCCCTGCACTTCCCCAAAACCACACGATGGCATGAAGAAATTTAGCTAAACCATGACACGGGGTCAGCAGGTAGGAAGAAAGCCTTTCACCCAGCTGTGGCTGAGGACTGTGGGCAGCATGCAGCAGCACAGCCCAGTTCAGCTCCACTTCCCTCCTCAGCAAGCCCAGCCCTGTGTTCCAGTTTGAGGAATCTGATCTACACTGTGGCTTGAGCAGCCCCTGAGAAAGGTCCCCAGCTTCACAGGAAGGAAGGAAACTGGCACTGATGATTTCTGCTGAGATACCTGCAGAATAGTATCAGGAGGGTTGGCAGTCCAGAAGAAATATAAAATCCTGCAGACCCAACTCTCTCTGCAGTCGTAGGTCTGGGAAGTTCTCTGGGTGTCAATGGTGGCTCCTGTAAGGAAGGGAGAGCAGATGGCTGCAGGAGGCTACAGACTGAGAGGGCTTGGTGCTCAGACACCGTTTCTGATGCCACTGGCCATCTCCATGTCCTCATTTCCCCACCAGTGGGGGTGCCTGGCTGCACAGGGCAATGACAGCAGCCACATGCCTGGTGACTG